TGTCCCATAGTGCCCAGGGATGTGCAGGTTAGGGTGGATTGGCCGTGTTAAATTGCCCCATAGTGCCCAGGGATGTGCAGGTTAGGGTGGATTGTCCATGCTAAATTGTCCCATAGTGCCCCAGGATGTGCACTTTAGGGTGGATTGGCCATGGGAAACTGTCCCATAGTGCCCAGGGATGTGCAGATTTAGGGTGGATTGGCCGTGCTAAATTGTGCCATAGCGTCCAGGGATGTGCAGGTTAGGGTGGATTGGCCGTGCTAAATTGTTCCATAGTGCCCAGGGATGTGCAGGTTCGGGTGGATTGGCCGTGCTAAATTGTCCCATAGTGCCCAGGGATGTGCAGGTTAGGGTGGGTTGGCCGTGCTAAATTCTCCCATAGTGCCCAGGGATGTGCAGGTTAGGGTGGATTGGCCATGTTAAATTGTCCAACAGTGTCCATGGATGTGCAGGTTAGGGTGGATTGGCTGTGCTAAATTGTCCCTTAGTGCCCCGGGATGTGCAGATTCGGGTGGGTTGGCGGTGCAAAATTGTCCCATAGTGTCCAAGGATGTGCAGGTTAGGGTGGATTGGCCGTGCTAAATTGCCCCATAGTGCCCAGGGATGTGCAGGTTAGGGTGGATTGGCCATGCTAAATTGTGCCATCGTGTCCAGGGATGTGCTGTTTTGGGTCGATTGGCCATACTAAATCATGCAATAGCGTCCAGGGATGTTCAGGTTAGGGTGGATTGGCCGTACTAAATTGTCCCATCGTGCCTAGGGCTGTGCAAGTTCGGGTGGATTGGTGGCAGGAAATTCAGAGTTATCGGGTAGTGGGATAGGTCAGTCCTATCCCCACCCTAAGTCCCCACCTACACTCACCCTTCTTGGCTCCATCACCGCCTCTTTGACCTGTCTGTCTCCTCTCCACCTATCTTCTCCTTTGTCCATCTTCCATCCGCCTCCCCCTCTCTCCCTATTTATTTCAGAATCCCCTGTCGCTCCCCCATTTCTGAAGAAGGGTCCAGACCCGAAACGTCAGCCTTCCTGCTCCTCTGATGCTGCTTGGCCTGCTGTGTTCATCCAGCTCTACACCGTGCTATCTCTTACCTTACTATATTAGGTTATGCAGGGATATGCAGGTTAGGGTAGTTTGGCCATGCTCGATTGTCCCATAGTGCACAGGGATGTACAGGTTATGTTACGATAGTGCGGCGCTCCCTCAGCACTGACCGTCCAACAGTGCGGCATCCCCTCAGAGCCAACCCTCCAATCGTGTGGCACTCCCCCGGTACTGACCCTCTGAAAGTGTGACACTTGCTCAGTACTGATGCTCTGACAGTGTGGCGCACCCTCAGCACTGACCCTCCGACAGTGCAGTGCTCCCTCAGCACTTACCCACCAACAGTGCAGTGCTTCCTCAGTACTCACCCTCCGACAGTGTGGTGCTCCCTCAGCACTGACCCTCCGACGATGCGGCACTCCCTCAGCACTGACCCTTTGACAGTGCGGAGCTCCCACAGTACTGACCCTCCCACAGTGCGGCACTCCCTCAGCACTGATCCTCCAACTCTGCAGCACTCCCTCAGTACTGACGCTCTGACAGTGCAGCACTCCCTCAGGACTGACCCGACAACAATGCTGAGCTCCCTCAGTACTCACCCTCCGACAGTGCAGCACTCCTTCAGCACTGACCCTCTGACTGTGCGGCACTCCCTCAGCACTGATCCTCCGACTGTGCGGCACTCCCTCAGTATGGACTCTCTGAATGAGTGGCACTCCCTCAGTGCTGACCCTCTAACAGTGCAGCACTCCCCAGGTGTTGACTCTGCAACAGTGCAGCTCCCCCTCAGGACTGACCATCCAACAGTGCAGCACTCCCCCACCACGGACTTTCCGACAGTGCAGCGCTCCCTCACTATGACCCTCCAACAGTGCAGCACTCCCTTAGTACTAACCCTCCGACAGTGCGGCACTCCCTCAACACTGACTCTGAGACAGTGTGGTACTCCCTCAGCACTGAACCTCCGACAGTGCCGCACTCCCTTAGTACTGACCCTCTCACGGTGCGGTGCTCCCTCAGTCTTGACCCACTGACAGTGCGGCGCCCCCTCAGGACTAACCCTCTGACAGTGCGGCACTCCCTCAGTACTGACCCTCCGACAGTGCAACACTCCCTCTATACTGACCTTCTGACACTGCTGCAAATGACCCCACACCCACTTAATCACATCTGTCTGAAATTCTTCAACATCCAAATGTTTATTGTAATATGACCATTCACCAACTCAATGGAAGGGGAGATAAGGCTCCAGAAATATCCTTACGCTCAATGTGCATGTGTCAAGCTTTTACTTTTGCAACAAACCTCAGCTAGAATCGCTGAGTCGAATATCCAACTTGTCCTGCCCCGGCAGTCCGTAGCATAGCTGATGCTAGTTTAATTCAGTCTATGTGAGGTCAAGAAATTTCTGAAGGCACGACATAGTGCCAATGCTATGGTCCCTGACAACGTTCTGTCAATGGTGCTGAAGACTTTTGCTCTAAAACCCGCTGTAGCCCTGGCACCACTGTGCAACAACAACACTGGTATCTACCAAGCAACATGTAGCTTTCAGATTTGTATCCCTTACACACTGAAGGCCAATCCGACTGCTCTCAATCATCAGCTCAGCGTTGGAAGGTGCCATCAACAAGTCGTTGTAAAAGAATTACCAACTCACTGGCACTCATTTGGCATTCTATCAGGTCCATTCAGCTCCTGGCCTCATTTGTAAGTTGGGTTTCGAAGTTGAGAAAAAATGAAGGTGTGGATTCAATTCTGTCAAAGTACTTTTTTCCCCCGTGGTCAGAAAGTCATTTGGAACAGTGAACTAAAAGTGTCGTTTCCAACAAGGTAAGTGACTTTAGTTGAGTCCTTGCATTCAACATGGACAAAATAAAACTGAACTTCAGGTGAGAAGTGAGGGCCATTTTTCTTGACATGAAGGCAGCATTTGACTGAATGTAGAAGATGGAACCAGAGCCAATGGAAACACTGCCTGTCTGAAACTGACATCATGATCCTACCTGAGCAAGTCCAATCCCAGAGTGAAATCTGGCTTGATAGATCATTTTTGCACCTGCTTGGTTAGTCACTGAACGCATTCACTCATGGCTGCCATTGTTCTTTGTTAGAACTACACAAGTTTATCACTCAATAGGAAAAAAAAATTCTTGATATCTATGACAAATTAGAAAGTTTAACCGGTTTTATGTCAGAATTTGCGTTTAAGACAGGCTGGCCAAGGAGAATGCAAATTGAAGATCTATTTTCAGTCTTGAGTGTTTTACACCATATTTATTATAGATTCAATTAAAATGCTGCAATGCCTGGCAATCATCCATATACACAACTCTAACCTTATTGTTAGATTATTTAAAGACTAATTTATCTTCTTTGTTCCATAATTATATGCTTATCAGGTTACTGGAGAGGTACAGCTCTGTGACATTAACACAAGATTATTCCAGTGTCCTAAAGCCCTTACACAACAGAATGATCTTATCGGCGACAGGAAAACAAAATTTCACATTTCCCCCAGCAATATCCTTTACAGATTCTCTTACCCAATGAAGTGTCACTCCCGTCTTAACTTTAATTTCTAACTTAACCGACTCTTTACAGCACATATGGCTTTGAGAGATTTTTGCAGGGCAGATGACCCAAACATCTTTTCAGTTCTGGCAGCTTCAGAAAAGTTGACACAAACTCTCACAGCCTAGAGACTTTACGAACTTGTCTCCTGAGCTGGAACTTTATGCAAGTGAGCAGACTTCCCTACTGCTGGGCGGACACAGCTTTTCTGTCCTGAAAACATGACTGTTCAGAAATTTATTCAACCAATTCGTGCCCCTTGGTCTTTTTCTCTGCATGTCATAAAACTTTAACATTTACTCTATCAGCTATCACCATAGATATCTAACTAGGACTCAACTAAAGTCACAGGCCTTCTTGGAAATGATACTTTTAGTTCACTGTTCCAAATGACTTTCTGACCACTGGGGGGAAAAAATACTTTAACAGAACTGAATCCACACCTCCATTTTATCTCAACTTCAAAACCCAACTTACAAATGATAATCTGTCATACCATTTTCCCTGTGTTTAGTTGGAAGCTAGTACTTCTCAGGACACTCAGCAAAAGCCAATTGTTTCTGGAATCCATCTGATCTCACTTTCAAAATTGATAGAATCAATGGCCACAAGTAAGTGCTTCAAAATTCTTTTATTGACTGCTGTGCAATGCAATTACAGTTGAATAGCCCAGTCACGGGGATGAGGGGTTTCCATTGCCGGCTTGAGCTGTTCAGGTCTTCAAATTTCCTTTAGTGAGTTTTAGGGGCTGGGGCATTTTTGCACAAAGCAAGATTCTATGAGAATAGCATTAAGCCTTTTCTTGCTGGAGATGTTTTGTGTTAAGGGTGAATAGGGCTTTTTGAGTTGGAATCACTTATCCCATGCAGCATTAGCATTAAATGCAGAACTAGCATTTTATTGCTCCATTAATAGTTAGCCTGAAGAAGCTAATGGTGAGCTGCCTTCTTAAATCACTTCAGTCTATTTGGGGTGGGGGCAGCTGTGAGGCAGGGACAGTACAGTGGTCAGGATGAAAATAGAAGGAAAAGGCAGGGAATTTCTTTACAAACATCGTTTGACCGTGAGGGGAGGGAGACACAAGAGATGCTCTGGGCCTGTCCTAGAAGTACTCCAGCTCATCAAACAGTTTCTTGTTTGTTTGGATTTTTTCCAGGGACAGTTTGGCATCAGAAGAGGGCAGTGGCTGGAACACCCGTATGTGTATGTAATCATCAGCATCCCCAATCACAACCTTCAAAATAAAAACACACCAATGAGTTTACAAAGAATGCTTCACATGGCTGACCCGTACAACATGAAGCAAAACACCTCAGCACAACACCTCTGTGACAGTACAGTACTCACTCAGTACTGACCCTCCGAAAGTGCCTGCTCACGCAGCGCTGACCCTCCGACAGTGCCCGCTCATTCAGCACTGACCCTCCGACAGTGCCCGCTCCCTCAGTGCTGACCCTCCGACAGTGCCCGCTCATTCAGCACTGACCCTCCGACAGTGCCCGCACTCAGGACTGACCCTTTGACAGTGCACCCATTCCTCAGTACTGCATTTCCAACCTTGATAGACCTATATTTTTCTGTAACCAGTTCCAGCCCCGGCAACGATCTCTATCTCTGAAAGCTCCTCCAGCCCCTACACCCCATCCTTATCTCCGTAACCCCCTCCAGCCCCTACACCCCCTCCATATCTCTGTAACCTATGCCAGCACTTACACCCCCTCCCTATCTCTATAACCTTCCCCAGCCCCTACACGCCTTTCCTGTCTCTGTAACCTCCTCCAGCCCCAAAACCCGTCCCTGTCTCTGTAAGTCCCTCCAGCTCTTACTCCCCTCCCTATCTCTGTAGGCCCCTCCAGGCCCTACTCCCCTCCCTATCTCTGTAGCCCCCTCCAGCCCCTACTCCTCTCCCTATTTCTGTAGCCCCCTCCAGCCCTTACTCCCCTCCCTATCTCTGTAGGCCCCTCCAGGCCCTACCGTTCATAGTTGTCTATGAGTTACTACTATCTCTCTTGTCCTTTACTGGGGGCATTCTGGAAATTTACAATCAAATACACATGGAAGAATGTGTTCCTAGTTACCTGAGACATTTTTCCATTGGGGGAAAAGCGGAGAAACCGTGCACAACAGAGATCAATCATTTTCAAACGCTGAGCTGAGTGAGTTTTCCCAATGACATGTTCTCGATGTTCACCAAAAAGCCTTTTGGGACAGAGAACGGTGAAGCGCACGTTGGATTTGGAAGTGAAGTAGGAACATGAGAGGGAAGAGTGTAGCCAGGATCTCAGTGGATGGACTGTATGATCAGATCGGATAGATACAGAGAAGGCAGCATTAGGAAGAGGGGTTGCTGGAAACTGAGTTGGCAGGAGGATGTCACAGGGCATGCTAGGGCGGAGGTGTATGGATGGGGTAAGAGATACAAATGTGACAGCAGATCACAAAGGCAGGGGACAGCTACAAGCAGGAAGAAGGACATCCTGAGGGTCAGTAGAAAAGAGGAGTTCAGGACACTGTCAGATCCGAAATGAATGAGAGAGCAGTCTCGAGGAGTTAAACAGACGCAACACGGTTTTAAAATTATCTCTTCCTCAGATGGAGCTTTTGTGTAGATTCTGTGAGGAGAAAACTGTCAGAGGAAAACAGGTGGATACTGCTTACAGACCTTAATGAAGTAATTCATTCCAGCCACCACTTGAGACCGATATGAGATCGCGTGATAAACATGCAGCGGGCGATTCAACTTTTCCACAACGGAGTTCTTCAACTGGGCACAGGCACAACGGAGAAAAAAACACAGAGAATGCCAGCGTTACTCACTGTCAGAGAGTCAGTGCTGAGGGAGAGCTGCGCTGTCAGAGGGTCAGTGCTGAGGGAGTGGGCACAGTCGAAGGGTCAGTGCTGAGGGAGCAGGCACTGTCGGAGGGTCAGTGCTGAGGGAGTGCAGCACTGTCGGAGGGTCAGTGCTGAGGGAGCGCCGCACTGTCGGAGGGTCAGTGCTGAGGGAGCGCCGCACTGTCGGAGGGTCAGCGCTGAGGGAGCGCCGCACTGTCGGAGGGTCAGTGCTGAGGGAGCGCCGCACTGTCGGAGGGTCAGTGCTGAGGGAGTGATGCACCGGCATCAGAAGTCTAACTCAAGTTGAAAGCAAGCACTTCAATTTTTTCAAAGACTCAGTGTTATCCAGATCTGGGGAAATGTGGAGTGGCTCGGCCTGGTTTGTTGTACCGGTTAAAGTGGATGTGGAGAAAGTTTACTCACTAACTGGACAATGGCCTGAATGTCGCTAGTCGTGGCTTCCATACCAGATGTACCACCAGGTATTTATGATGCCATTCTTGTTGTCTCTCGCTGTCTCTCCCTCTGTTTCCCCATTTGGCATTCTGCGTTTATAAGGTTTGCTGCTTCCTCTTGCTCCTCCCCTCACTGAAGAGGCTGTTCGCTTGGGAAGTCTCTCCCACTCTCTCCGCTCCACCCTCAGCCTCTCATTGTTTGTTCCATCCTGTCATCTGGAAATGGGGATGCGGGGGATGGTGCTGGTCCCTGTTTTCGATTGCCTCATTCTCTCCTTCCTACTCTTTCTGACATGCAAAATTTCCTGCCCCCATTTCTCGCCACCTTCTGCTTTTAAAGTCCTGCGATTTTAATGATGGGGATTGGAGACAGGAAAGGGCTGTACAGTTCTGGATTAGCTCTGGTGCCCCGTAAGGATCGGCATCTGTGTCTCGGCTGTGTACAGAGGGACAGAGAAAGAGTCGTCAACTCTGACTCAATTTACTCCTCTTCCAAGGAGCCACAGTGGGCTGAATGGCCCTCCTGCACCTTCCATCATTGCAATTCCACGAGTTCTTTTGTTGAGCCGCTGGTGTAAATCCCTACTTCCCTGACACCCCCCCATCACATTGAGACCTCACTGCTGATTATATCCATGCCAAGTATCAGTGGCTGTACAGTGAAAAGCCTGTGTCAACATGTTTCCTGCTTCAGGGTTCATTGTGAAATTTTGAGAGCCTTATTTTCTCCGTTAGGGATGAGGTTAACAGTGTGAAAAAATGAGAAGACCCAGAAACATAGCAAATATGAGCAGGAGTAGGCCACCAGCCCTTCAAATCTGCTCCGCCATTGAAAATGATCCTGGCTGTTCATCCAACTCATTCCCCTTGTTCCCATTGTCTCCCCAAACACTTTAATCCACTTCGCACCAAGAACAATGTCTTACTCATGTTTGAAAGCATTTAATGTTTGGGCCTCAAGTGTTTTCTGTGGCAGTGACTTTCACAACTGCACCACTCTCTGATAAATAACATTTCTCCTTATCTCTGTCCTAAATGGTTGACTCCTTATCCTTGAGCTATGAACACCACCACCTCCCCCCCCACCCCGGTTTCTGTACCCCCCCAGACAAATGCACTGCTTTCTTTCTCAGGGAGAGAATGGCCAGTCGCCACCAGTTCTGAAGGATCTGGGATTCAAAACTCACACAAGAAATTTGAAGCCTTTGAGATATTACATTTTTCACTCTGCCCTTGGTAATGACTCTCTGACAGTGCAACGTTCCCTCAGTACTGACCCTCTGAAAGTGCAACTTATCATTGGACGACCATAACATAGTGATTGATTTGCTGCTCTCTAAGCTGTTGGAGTTTGAATTTCAATTGCCTGGACCTGTTTGATAATTTAATTTGAAGTTATTCAGATATTGTGAAAAAAGGATGGTCGGGATAGTTTTGTAATTCTTTCGTTCTCAGACAAAACCCATCGACTTTGGTGGCTCAGTGGTTAGCATTGTTGACTCACGTCGCCAGGGACCTGGGTTCGATCCCACCCTCAGGCGACTGCGTGTGTGCAGTTTGCACATTCTCCCCGTGTCTGCGTGGGTTTTCTCCAGGCGCTCCGGTTTCCTCCCACAGTCCAAAGATGTGCTGGCTAGGTGGATTGGCCGCGCTAAATTGTCCCATAGTGCCCAGGGATGTGCAGGTTAGGGTGGGTTGGCCATGCTAAATTGTCCTGTAGTGCCCAGGGATGTGCAGGTTAGGGTGGATTGGCCTTGCTAAATTGTCCCATAGTGCCCAGGGATGTGCAGGTTAGGGTGGGTTGGCCGTGCTATATTGTCCCCTAGTGCCCAGGGATGTGCAGGTTAGGGTGGATTGGCCGTGCTAAATTGTCCCATAATGCCCAGGGATGTGTAGGTTAGGGTGGGTTGACCGTGCTAAATTGTCTCATAGTGTCCAGGGATGTTTGGATTAGACAATGGGAAATACAGGGGTAGGGAAATGAGTCAGGGTGGGATGCTCTATGGAGGGGCGGTGTTGGGCTGAATGACCCGTTTTCACACTGTAGGGAATCTATGATATGATTTCGCTTAAAGATAAATCTTTACTCCGCCTGACATGTCTGTGACCCCTGTCCCACAGCTGTGTGTTTGAATAATGACAGCCCATTGAGTTGATCTGGCGAGACTGTCAGTTATATCAGAGCCCAGGAACTCAGGGCTCTTTTGCTCCAATCACTTTTCCTCCTTCTCCTTTTTTTCTTCCATTTTTGATCTTACTTGGGCAAGCTCAGACCTCTTGGGGGCGGCAAGGTTGTGTTCCCAGTGGCTTCGGCGGAGGGGTCCAGTTTGTGTTACCAGTGGTCATATGGGTCCAGACCCGTTGGCTTCAGCGATGCCTACGTTTCCGAGAATGTCCCAGTGTGGACTGTTGGTGGCAGCGAAGGTCAGTAGAGGCGAGATGGCGCTGAAGTATTGATGTTACGGACCAGACCGAGCCCGATACAGCTTTCCGACTGTCAAACGCTTTCTGTCCTTCCTCCATTCACTGAACTTTTCTCCATTTCTTCAACCATCCAGTGAGTGTAGCAGCTAACATTCAGTACATACTTCCAACAAGAACCAGGAATTGTAGTACCTCCGTCCTCTTCTATGACCTGGGAAACTCCCCAATGACCTTTGTTTTCACATTGCTGTGCGGCTTTTTGTCCAAGTCCAGTGATGTGGCTCAGTGCAGGTTAGTCTTTAAAATTTGGCTGGCGCATTTTTCATACCAAGTGGCATGACTCTTTAAACTGATGCACTCCATTTGGTGTCACGATAGCTGAGATTTCCTTCGGTCTTTCAGATAAAGGTGCCTGCCAGCATCCTCTGAGTAAGTCCAACTGTGAAGTATAAGTTGCTTGTCCCGATACAGTCTTCCAAGACTTGAATAAGATATGAATCAGATTTTGTAACTATGTGGACTCTGCAGTAGCCCACAGATAATCATCTGGTTTTCGCACCATACAATGAGTGAGCTCCATTGGTGCAACTCACCTGGATTATGTTGTCTTTGAGCATGTGGTCAATGTCTTTTTGAACCTGTGCTAAATTTATTCGATTAAGACCCCATAAGGATGTTGCTCAATTGAGACATGCATAATCAGATTAGTACTTCCCAATTGATTCCCTCATATCTCCCCCATGAGATTGTAATAATTCTTCAGGTCATTTCAGTTTTCCTCAGGAAAATAACTCAATACTTTATCCCAATTTTTGAGAACCTCCTCATTGTCCAACTTAATTTGAGCAATGTCCAATTCATAATTGTCTGAACTTGGTTCTTCACTCTGTGTGACCAGTAACACCACATTCTCCTTTTGCTTCCCTTCCCTATCAAAATACATTTTGAGCATATTCACATCACACACTCTGTGAGATTTCTTTCTATCTGGCGTTCTTAACAAATAGTTCACCTCAGTGAATTAATTTGGAAAGGCCTACCTCACCTTGCCTTTAAAGATTCATCTACCACTGGTAGTAATAGGAACACTTTATCTCCCAGCGAAGGTACAAATTTTTGTTTTCTGGTCTGCTTCTTGCTTCATCTCATGTTGTGCGATTTTTAAATGTTATGTAGCTGACTCACCAGCGTTATTTTAATCTTTCACTAAAATTTGACACGCAGTCCAAATCTCTTGTATCTGAACACTGACTTATCAATTTCACCTTAATTAATTTCAGTGGTCTCCTCACTTAACTTAGTTGATTCTTTAGGTGCATGCCTAATAGCAAAAAATACAAATGGAATTCCTTTATTCCTTCTGGATTGTCTAGACTATAAGCCCTTAACAAGTTTGATGTCATCGTTCTAATGCTCTCTGCAATACTGGATGGTATGTTGTGGATTTGAATAGTTTTAATCCTGAGGTAAACATAACTTCCTTGGAATAACTTTGATGTACAATTTGATCCTTGATTTGATTATTTTTCTGCATGTGGTTTGAAAAAAATGAGTAATTTCTCCTTTTAGCCAGGATACTGAGTAATGAAATAGCCTCTGGAAATCTAGTAGACTCATTCATTATGGTCAACAAATACTGATGTCTGTTTTGGTGGGCGTCTTGCACAATCAATTAATATTCTTATAAATAGCTCCTGAAATGCAAGAACAGGTAAAAAGCGTGCTGTTTTTATCACTTCCTGAGGTTTGCCAATTACCTAACATACAGAACCTGTCCAGCAAAAGTCAATCACATACTTTTGCAGTTCAAATCAATAAAAATGTTTTTGTATTTTGGCTTCAGTTTTCCTTACTCCCAAATGACCTTTTACTTGTAATTCATGTGCTGCCTGCAACACCTTCTTCCTATAAAAACTGAAAGAACTGTGGATGCTGTAAATCAGGAACAAAAACAGAAGTTGCTGGAAAATCTCAGCAGGTTTGGCAGCATCTGTGAAGGGAAAAACAGAGTTAATGTTCCGGGTCCAGTGACCCTTCCTCAGAACTGATGGTGGCTGGGAAAATGTCAGTTTACATGCAGAAAATAGGAAGGTGGGTGGGGTAGGGAGTAAACGATAGTATAGAGCCCAAAGAGAGAGAAAGACAGTTGGACAGACAAAGGGATAGTAGGAACTGCCGATGCTGGAGCCTGAGATAACAGGGTGTGGAGCTGGAAGAACACATTTCTGAAGAAGGGTCCAGACCCGAAATGTCAGCTTTCCTGCTCCTCTGATGCTGTCTGGACAGACAAAGGAGTTGCTAACGATCAGGCTGGGAGGGTGAATAGTTGTTAATGGGGACTGTTAGTGACTAACAACAGGGGGTGTGTAATGGCAGGCTATGTGGTAACAAGGCCTAGTGTGTGGGGTGGGGGTCTGGGACATGGGAGAGTTTAGGCCCTAAAATTACTGAACTCAATATTGAGTCCGGAGGGCTGTAAGGTCCCCAAGCAGAAAATGAGGTGTTGCTCCTTCAGTTTGCATTGAGCTTCACTGGAACACTGCAGCGAGTCAGAGACAGAGATGTTGGCCAGGGAGCAGGGTGGTGCATTGAAATGGCAGGCAACAGGTAGTTCAGGGTCTTTTTTTGCGAGCAGAATGTACATGTTCTGCAAAGCGGTCACCCAGTTTACGCTCCGTTTCCCCAATGTAGAAGAGACCACACTGTGAGCAGCGAATGCAGTAGACTAGATTCTGGGAAGTGCAGGTGAAGTGTTGCTTCACCTGGAAGGTATGTTT